TTGCTCCAAGGACCCCTGTGTATTTTGCAGTGCCTTCAGCCCTCGTGTTTGGCGTTTTGTTACTGTTATTTTGTTGATTTTGTCTGTTTTGTTTGGGGTTTTTTTGGCTTTTTAATTTTATTTATTTATTTATTTTTAGACAGTTATTGTTTTCGTTTGAAAGCTTTACAAACGGGCAGGGGGAAAACCCAGCGGTCGTTTCCCCTCCAAAGCCAGGCCGGGGGTGTTTAGGGGCTCTCTCCTACCAGCTGGATTTTGCTGGCATTGTGGTGCTTCAGAATATCCATATAAATTTAAGCGCGTATTTCCTTTTGACCGCGCTTCACACACGAGTGAACTCTCGTTTTGTAGTTCCTGCGATCGGATATTGCAGAATACTAAAAGCGAAACCTCCATTCCCTCACACACTCAAAAAAAAAAAAAATGAAATCAGCACATATTTGGTTGATGGTTTCCTCACGGCCTGTTTATTTAATCTGACTGTATGATAGATGGCATCAGATAGTGGCTTCGTACACATTAGGCCATTCTGGATTTTTTTTTTTAAATGGATCAACAAACTCAGCGGGGAAAAGCTGGATAAATACAGTGCCGCCCCTTTAAATGAGTGGGGATGTTTTTGAGATGTATTACTATATTAGGTGACATGGAACTTTGCATCTCTCATACCATCACTGCAATGTTGGCCAATAGAAAGCTAAAGTCACCCAAAAACTGCCTAGTCCCTCCTTCTCTTCCCTTATGGTCTGGTCCTACCTGCCTCCAGTGCACAAGTCAAGGCTACTCGTGGGAATGCTATGTGCCCCCTCCGTGAGCCCACGCTCCACCGCTGCTCCAGGTTGGCTGCTCCTCACCTACTCTTCCATGACTGTGGGCTCCGGCCGCTGCCCAGCTCTCCTCCGCAATGTTTCCTAGCCCTGTGACAACGACACCCTTCTCGGTCAAGGATATTTTGAACCTGGAACAGCATCAGAGCGGCCTTGCCTCCATGGAGCTCTCCTCGCTGTCCTCCCCCTCCTGCATGCTGGCCACCTTCAAGCAGGAGACGTACAGCGCCGAGCCCCCGGCCCTGCCCGACCTGCGGGAGGAGCTGCCTGAGCCCCACCCGGCCAAAACCTCCGCTGCCTTCCCCGGCTCCTACTACGTTAAAAGCTACGTGGAAATGGACTCGGCCAAGGACGCCAAGGCGGACAAGAAAGGTAAAGCCCGCGAGGAACGGGCTCGCCAGTGGCCTCCGAGCTGAGAAGAAGGGAGGGCAGGGGAAGGAGACCCCGGGGCT